TAGTCGCTCTATAAAAGCGTATCTTAGCATTCGAGACACATCAGTGACAATGTATGTAACCTAATCACTCACCCTTGCTGTTTATGTGGTCTATCTTACAATCGTTGAGTAGGTCTCGTAGTTTCATGAATCAGATAACAGCTCGATATTAATGAATGCCTTCCAGTTTGTGAATTGGTTTACTAGTTATCAATGTGAGCTGTATTGTACCTGGTCGGACTTACTCGAAATAGCGCCCGGTCATTCGATCGTCGCCATTCTCCATGGGGTCAAGTCCCCTTCTGGCAAGCTTCCCTACACGAAGAAATGAGTCTTCATAATTACCTGCGGTTTTTGTCTGTGAAAGGTGACGTTTGCCAATGAAGTAAGTCATAAGAGAATAGAGATCATCGGCATGAAAATGGCGCCACGTGAAGAACCGTTAATGGTGCTATCCTCAGAAGATGGTGGCCTTGATGCCTAGTGGTTTGCTTAAACAACCCCCTAGTGACTAGACTATACTACTAGTAGTCACTGGGCACCACCCGCGGTCTTGGTTCCATCCCACCGAAAACCTAGGGAATTACTCCCTGTCTAGCGCTGAAGAACTCGAGGGAAACCGCATCAACAGGAGATCATGCACCCATGAGACAATGCTACTAAGTGTCCATTATTGTGTCAAGTCTTGTTGACTCGCAAGATCTATTCAGTATAGTGGCATCAACAGTGAATGCTTTCGGTGTAACACAATGTTCATTGATAGTACATGCCTAAAATGTGATTTAATTGAGCTCACAGATAGTCACACCACTGATGTGTCCACATCAGGCTCATCATCACCTATCCTTCACACGGTCCGATTCAAAATCAAGCCCGGCATGCGTCCGGAGTACTCCGTACATGGACGAGGAGTCCAATGCCCTTTCATTCGTCTGTGCATACTGGGAAGCCTCGTCATAATGCTTAAGAACAACATCTGCAACGGGCAACCTCGTTCCAGCGTTCTCCGCACACGAAACACCTAATCCAACATCTTTCACAGCCAGTTGAAGGTCCGACCAAGGTCGTTCGCCCTGTTTCGGAAGGTAAAACCCCTCCGTCATCCGCCTCGACATCGCGAGCGGAAGTGCGCCATACTGCTCTTCAATCAAGGACTCCAGTGCCTCGCTTCCGATACCAGTCTTCTCGGCAAAGACCTGTGCTTCGGCCACAAGCTCCATCATCCCCGCCGTCAAGAAATTTCTACCATGCGTTCCGTCAGTCAAATCCTCTGAAAGAAAAGCCTCGAGACCTACCCTGCCGTCTTCATCAAACTCGCTTGCGCCGCGTCCTTTCCCATGTGCAACGTCTTCCTCGCCAAGACACCAACCAAGAACGGCTCAATAGCCCTGACAGCCTCGTCAGCGCCTGCTGTGACGATCAAAAGCCGACCTTCCTTGGCTACAGGACTTGCCCCGAACACAGGGGCTGCTACAAAACTCGCACCCTTCTTCGCAAGCGTTCGCTGCGCCCACGAGGATACATCCGGATGAATGGTTGACGTGTCGACAATGATCTTGCCCTGAAGCTGTTCCGGTGTGGAGGCTTCTATGATTGAATTGACGATCGAGGTGACAGCTGTGCCATCGCTAACGGCAATGAAGCAAATGTCGACCTGGGCAATCAAGTCTGGGACACTGGCACTCTGGACTCCTCCTTTGTCGAGGATCGGCTGGCCCCGAGCTTCTGTACGGTTATAGAAACACAGGGAGGGGCTCCGACATGCGATAGATGGCTTTGGAGGTTCAATGCCATGGCCAGCCCCATCGACCCGAGACCTGTGACGTTAGTATGATGCTGGTAGCAGTGAGGAAATGCTGCACTTACCGATCCATCCGAGTCTCGGATGAGTGGTTGGGGTTGATGTTGGAGGTTTAACTTGGGAGTCCATTTTGAGATATAATCTGGTTTCCTGTTCGACTCACTCCGTGGTGGATATCACTGACGAATGATATCAAGTCAACTTTTAATACATTCACGATTCAATACAAAAGCCGAGGAATGTGCTTCGAGTCATACCAGTGAAGGAGGGGTAATTTAGGAATATTAGTCATCGGCCTCGACTTTTTGATGGTTTGAACAACTAGAGGCGCATGAACCCTCCAACATACCAACATGTGCCTAGGGATATCCAGGCTATTGGATCTTGTTTTATTGTCAAATTCGGCTTCCATTCGCCGTCGACACTCCCAGTAGCAGAGTTTTGGACTATATCATAATCCTTATTATCTAGTAAGTGCGTTGGAATTATATATTGATTTAGGGCTCTCCCACCGTACCGAATCAGGTCTGAAGAACAGTCTTTAGTGAATACTAAACAATCTAATTGGAGGTGAAGTAGATTTTGTGACTACCACTATGGACTAAGAGCCACAGGTAGTTTGTTAAGTCCTTTGTTGATTTTGGTAGTTTGGCTACAACACTGGTCCTGCTCCTCTAGAACTATAACCCTTAACCCAGAAGCCATGATCCATGATATGAAGTGCGCAGAGGGTCATCTCTGACTTTTGAGAGACATCCAATAGAGACGAGAACGTTCGCATGACTTGGACAATGTGATCCACGCTCGTGTGTGCCCAACTGATTTTGAAACAGGAATAGCAATGTGCACAGTATGAGACCTTTCTATGAAAAGGGCAACGCTTTGACCTACAAGGCTGAAGGATATTGGCAATGCAGTCATAGAGTTCGTTGGCCTCAACCGATCATGATTCATTGATACTGAGTGGCGGTGTTATAGACGATGACAATCACCGGAGCAGTAGCGATCTTCATGGCTCCCTCTCTTAGTGTCCCTGATATGCGGTATAGCTTTGGTATCTTGATTGGTTCGTTCGCATAGGCTTACTCCAGTACCCACTATTTGAGTAATTCCAGGTAGCCGTTCGTCGGGCGGATATCCTCCTGGCTGAGGTTGTTGGCGTTGCATCTCAAGTATTTATACCCAGTACAAACCCCCCCATGAATCTATCCATACTACTCAATTCAAAAGGGTGTCTTCCTTATCCATCACAGGCCTTGGTCTTGAAAGTATTCACAATGTCTACTCCAAACTATAGCATTCCGTCCGACTCATGGGTCCTGGTGACCGGTGCCAACGGCTTCATCGCCACCCATGTTATTGAGGCCTTCTTGGCCCAAGGCTACAAAGTCCGGGGCACGGTGCGTTCCCAAAAGCCATGGGTTGACGAGTACTTCAAGGGTAGATATGGCCCGGCCAACTTCGAGACAGTAATCGTGCCAAAGCTAGAGGAAGACAGGGCGCTAGATGGGTGCTTGACAGATGTGGGCGGGATAGTGCATGTGGTGCGTTATTGCATCTATTGACAAACTGACTACAAAGAAAGAAATCTAACAGCTATGTTTAGGCATGCAATTTGTCATGGACTGCTGATCCGCACAGTCTCATTCCCGAGGTGGTCGGAGCAACCTTGAATGTCCTCTCTGCTGCTGCGCGAGCGAGATCCGTCCGGCGGGTTGTTCTGACATCTTCTATGGTTACGGCTTGTTCTCGATGTCCCGGCACAGGGGAGATCACGGACTATGTTGTGGATGCGAGTCAGTAACTGCCCTTATGTGTGAACCATCCATGGCGAATTCTGACATGTTCATAGACAAATGGAATAACTCGGCTGTTGCCGCTGCCTGGGATCCAACGACTCCGGACCCCATCAAGCCAGGTATGGTGTATACGGCAGCAAAAGTGGAAGCCGAGCGGGGGGCTTGGCAATGGATGGCGGAGCATAACCCACATTTCGTGTTGAACACCGTACTCCCCAACGCGAACGTAAGAAAAAAGCAATCCTGGGATTTTCGTTAATGTCTGATTTTGAGGCACTTTAGTTCGGCAAGATCACGTTCCCTGGCAAGCAAGGCACTTCGATGGCGGCGACACGCTTACTGCTCGATGGAAACGATGTGGCCACAAAGCTCATGCCCGCACGTAAGAAGAATCCCGGGTTCCCATAACCTTGAAAATAACAGGCTCTAACAGTTCCTGTTAGAATGGTACGTGGATGTTGAAGACACCGCACGACTTCATGTCATTGGACTTTTAGATCCGGAGATCCGGTCGGAGCGTCTGTTTGCCTGCGCCGGTCCGTATACTTGGACCCAGATTGTGAAGATTATGCGGAAACTCCGACCAGATTGCTCAGCGATACCGGATGTTCAGGAGGAAGATGATATTCGCCCCTTTGAGATTGCAGCTTCGAAGCGAGCCGAGAAACTCATCCAGGGCTTCTACGGAAGGCCTGGGTGGACATCGCTGGAGGAATCTTTGGCTAGGGGGCTGTCAGATTCATTATAAAGGCCAGGTATTGCAGGATCCAGGCAATTGGGGTTGTTTTGCAGCCTTAGCTATCGTACCAGGGGGAATGTGGTAGTGTTGGTTCATGGATTGATTGAAATGAAATGATCGTCACCTGTCACGTCACGGGCTTATGCTATTCTCAAATAGGTCTAGTGCCCGACGTCACAGGTCAGTCTTTCCCTGTTTGGGAATTAAAAGTAAGCACACGCGAACGGACCAATCATCATGCGTGGGGTGGAGATGGAGATCGAAACAGCCCCCAAAGCGACGTTGACACGCCGAGTGTTCTTACTGGAAACGTCGTGGAACTCTGGACATTAGTATCGTGCTTTGATCCTATGGTATACTTCCTGCTCTACTTCCATACTTTGTTGAATGAGAACGATCAGCTGGCCAAGTTCATTGCATTCAACCCTTTGCCATGCCGTCATCGACAACGGAACGACGTACCCTCCAAAAGCAACGGCCGCGGCAGAGGCGATGGGCCCCCCATGTGAGAACAGGGTGCAGAACTTGCAAGTATGATTCGATATCCTGGTTGGTGAGGCAGCGTTAACAATGACAAGGATTCGGAAGACAAAGTGTGACGAGGGCAGACCAAGGTGAGTGACACGACGGCCGGCTGCCCTCTGAGTGAGACCGTTTCTATGTAGGTCCCTGGCTTACCACGATGAGTAGTTGTCTAAAGTGCCGCTCAACAGGGCGCATTTGCGATGGCTATGAGGATATAGTAAACGACGAGCTGCATGTCTACGCTCTGTCACAAGGGCCATCTACCTGGGACTTTCTTTCTCAGGATGGAGGAGAGAACGAGAACTTCTTCTTTTTCCGTTCGGTCACTACTTTCACCTTGGCTGGATCCTTCGATACCGACTTTTGGTCTCATCGGCTATTGCAGGTCTCCCATCATTATCCGGCTCTCCGGCATGGCATGGCCGCACTGGCATGCATCCATCGGGAGTATGCGACCGATAGCACCCCTTCTACTCAGTCACGTATTGGGGAGAGTCGGAATATGGAGTTTGCATTGAGACAGACGAACAAATCCATTCAAGCCCTTTTGAAGCTGCTGTCGGAACCTGTGCTAAGTAACCAGGATAAGATGGTGGTGCTAGCCACCTGCATTCTTTACACCTGTATGTGTAGCCTCCAGGGCCGTCAGTACCAGGCCTTTATGCATATCAACAACGGGTTAAAGCTTTTTCATCAGTGGGGAGTTGGGGAGAAACTTAACAGTCAGCCAGCAGCTTGGAAGGGAGCTGATATGCTTTTACTGGCGTTCATCCGGTTCGACTCACAGGTGCGTCCATACTTAGTGGGCCAAACCGCCTCTCTAAGTTGGAACAATAATCAAATCGCTCCGTCACCCAGTACAGCCCCTTTCACCGGTTTACTCGAGGCGTACGTGTCATTGGAGGCATTGTTCAACCGCATCATGCGGTTCTTCCTCGGCCAAGACACCAAGGACCCGTGTGTGCAATCCAGGGCCGCGGAAAAACAGATGTATATACAGCTCCTGCATGATTGGGACACACGTCTAGCCCTACTTTTAAGCACTACCTCCAAGTCAGAGGATGGTAGAGCTTTGGATGTCCTTTCAACCCGACGCAAGTTTGCCAAAGTTCTTCTATGCACAGACCCAACACAAAGTGAGCTAGCCCCGGACGCTCTCCTCAACGATTGCGTCGACATGATTGAAGCCATTAGCCGGATTCTGGACGATTCAAACCAGCAAGCGCTGCGGCAATACCAACATGCCGAGCAGGCCACATCCGCAAACTTCAGTCTGGACACTGGAATCGTCGAGCCCCTATTCTGGGTCGGGGTCAAATGTCGTGAGCCTACTATCCGGCGTCGGGCGTAGATATTTTGCAGCGGTATCCTCGCCGGGAGGGAATCTGTGAGGGAATGATAGCGAGCAAGATAGTCGCCAAGGTCATCGAGATTGAGGAATCTGGATGTCCACAAGCGCTAGCTGATATGGGTGCCACCAGTCCTTGTACCCAGGGACAATGGATTTGCGAAATCCATCGCGTGGCTTCATGGGAGTTCATCCTGGTCACCGAGCGGTTGGTGCGTGTTGTGTTGAGGACTGTCGAGGACTGGGCCTTGTCACGTCCAGGGACTGAATTTACCACCTCTTGGTGGTAGGACGTTACATGATATGAATTGATCTATGATTGTACGTGTCGTACAATATCGAATCGGCATTCTCGCAAAGTGATATTAGCCTAAACTCGATCTATAAATCATTTGAAGTTGTTTTTGAAACTATAACAAACACAAATAACATTAATCTCTTCCGCTTTGTGTGTGCCACCATCTCTTCAACATCTATGTCTATAATTCTTAAGAGCAGACATGCTTTGACACTAGTGCTTCGACAGGTGGTGAAATGCTATCCAGCCTGGCGGACATCCGGACCTCTACGACGTTCTTGCTACCGTGCAGTTCAAGGTAACCAACACGGGTGAGCTGGCGGGTGCAACAGTGCCTCAACTCTACCTGGCCTTCCCACATGACACTACCCCTGCTGGAACCCCGGTTAAGGTGCTTCAGGCCTTTGAGAAGGTTCATCTCAAGGCTGGTCGTAGCCAGACTGTCAAGTTCGAAATCACTCACAAGGATATGAGCTTTTGGAATGTTGTGAGGCAGGAGTGGGAGATCCATAGTGGTTCATTCGAGGCCATGGTTGGCTTTAGCAGCCGCAAGATCTCGGCCACGAAAGCGTTTGAGGTGTTTTGAATGGGGTGATACATCTCCACCGTGTTTTGATTTCGTCCTTGTTATGGGGATCCATCACGTTTAGTGTCCGCTGTAGTGATTTGCTTTTCTCTTCTTCTTGTGTCGTTCACTCATTCGTACGTGTTTCTGTGGCTTGCTAGTGGCGGGGGATATCTGCAGTTTTTGTCATGATCAGTTTTATTTTTTTCTAAAGGAGTTGATTATTCATAGAGACACTCCTTCCTTTTATTGGTAAATTTACTACTCGAAATGCTACAATGCTACGATACCTCGATGTTGACAGTACATAGAATCGATAGGACTTCAATGCATGGAGCAAAGTCAACTTCACATTATGGCAACCAAAGGACATCTCAGATGGCTTTGGATAATACTACAACTATCAACCCTAGAATACGCGTATATCCAGAAACATGTATCACAAGATATTCCCAAACCACCCGGTCCAAGTCACATATCAAGCATGGAAGCCCAACGTTAATCCTCCTCAAGCAGATCTACATCAGCTTCCGATGCGTCATCATCTCCTCCTTGCATCATATCAACATCACCGACATCATTATCATCATCACTGTCATAATACTCCTCAAGTTCATCACTTTCCTGGTAGTTTGAGGTGTAGAATAGACGGCGACCGACACCTTCCGTCTCCTCTACCGCCTTTCTGGTCAAGAAGAATGGATGGTCACGGCGGAGCTGGAGCCCTGACAAACATATCCCATTGGAGTGTGTGATATGTCCTGTCCCTGACGACGGAGAGTCAACCAGTCCTGGAGAAAGTTGAGCTGAGTTCTAACAAATGAGTCATCACATGCCGCAGCACTACTAGCTACAGCCGGATCAACATGGCTTGTGGGCTTCTCCGGGTCGATTTGCAGCTGCTCCAATAGAAACTTATATTCTGAGAATTGGAAATACAGCCGCCCTGCCAGAATTCCCAGCTCGAATGGAAGCCATTGTGGCGGAGACCACCCTTTAGGGAGGCTCGGGAGAGCATAGTAATTGACAGTGTCAAACTGAATCATTCGCTTTGTGAATGGTGCCGCATACGTAATTAAATGCATTGTCGAGTTTTCCATTGTACGTATAATAGGAATTAGCTCCTCGGCCTCCTCTGGAATGATCACTAGTCCAACGTTTGTCTGCGAATTGAAAAGCAGCCAGTTCACAGGACGCTATACAATGAATACTATGTTAGTCAAGCTCCACAGCTTATGTCCAAGGAAATTGGGAGATATTACCAGAAAGTTATCAATACTCTTCGCCCCTTTCTTTTTTGTCACCGTTTTCATAAACTCGGTCGAAACGTACAAGGAACGCAGTAACGTCGCAGCATCAATGCCGTGCTTGTGCCCCAGATCTGTTGACTCTAGGACAGTGGCCGCCTCCACGTAGCCTTCGTTTCCCTTCAGGTGGCCGATTATAGTAAAGTCTCTAATGGAGCTATGCAGTCCGGGGTACCGGTGTGCCTTCATAGTCAAAGGCCTCTGTATCTCCCTTTCCTGTTCGATCTCAAAGGCGACCTCTCGCTCCTGCTCAACCTCCTCTAATGCGGCACTCTTCAAGGAGCCCTTGACATGGGACTGTTCATAGCTTTGTTGTAGCTGGTCTATGAAACAAGTGAGGTTTCCTGTAAAGGATGTGGTAGTAGCAGTTGATGAAGGCATCACATCTCCATGCTCATGTGAAGGGGGTTGATAGAGCTGCTCCAGTGTCTGTTGTTCAGGTCGCTTCAAATGCTCGGTGTACGCGTTCTTATGGCCCGGGTTGGTCAAAAAATTCTTATAGTCGATGGCAGCTTGCATGCGGTGGCAGAAGTCGACCCCTTGGGAGAGATACAACGGCTGCAATACTCTGTTGTTATCGCATGTCTGATTGATAAGCCAGGCGAGCACATCTGACGAATCAATTCTATCGTGCACGCTCTTATGACAGACATCTAGTATGCTCTGATGCACCTCGGGTGGTGAGATAAAAATGACGGATTGCGTCGTTCCCAACTGTCGCAATCTCATGGCAGCTAGCAATAACTGTTAGCACTACCCAATCATCGATGAAACTAAAAAGAGGCCGAAGGGATGTAATGAACTCCATACCTTGAACTGTGTGGTCCTTCGTTTGGTTCAAGCCAAGGGTTAATGCTCCTTGAGCATCACGCGGTAGCTTGAGGTCAGTGCCCCGGGTGTGCGCCTCGTCTATATAGACCACGCAATTCTCCATATTTTCTGCAAAGGGGGTGGAAAGCAGGGGAACAACTCTTCCAGTTCGATAATGCACCCAAGGCTGATTGTCCTGTCTAAAGTAAACCGCGGCCTGAGCCTGGTCGTCCTCTTGCAGCCAAGCTCGTGCGAGCGCCTGGTTACTTATTTCCAATATGAGCGCCCCAGCGTCAATGAGAATGCGTATCTTACGTAGTTTGAGATATTTTAGGAGATCAAACTCCGAGTAACGTGTACCGTTCGGATTTGCTGCTATCTTATACCCTCGGTTTCTCTGTTGCAAAAGGTAGGTGAGAACTTCCGCGTTCGTATGTGACAGCCCAGGAAGGTCTTGCTGCTTTATTAAAAGAGGAAGCAGTCGACGATTGTCGTTGGTCCCACTAAATCCAGTTGTGATTCCTGGACGCAGGAGCTCAGCAGCCTCACCTTGACCCTGAGAGTTAGCGTAGAGGGGAAGGTCCCATCCTGATGCCTGCAGCTTAGTACTGAATTGCTTGGCGTGTACAGGAAAGACAAAGTTTCTCAGAAAATGATTAATGACAACAGTCTTCAAGCGCAAATGCCGGCATATCTCAGCGACTTGGCCCCTGTCATCGACATTTATCGTATTCCAGTGTCGCAACGTTTCTGGTAAAGTGTGTGATGTCTGTGTCCACCGATCGTATTCAATAGCGGGATCATCGGATCTTAAAACCTCCTGCAAGCTCTGTCGGAGTTGGTCTTCGGTAAGCCCTTGATGATAGAACGAGAGACAAGTGAACAGAATAGCAACATCAGGATGGCCCCACTCGGCGTGATCCGAAGGGACGCCTTTGGCATGGAATGGGACAGCCATGGGGGCCCTATCGGGGTGTAGACCGTACTGTACATTCCACCTCTTTTTAAGACAGAGTAGTAGAATGCCATGTGCGAGCAGTCCTCGTAACAAGTAGAGGTTCTTATGCGCCTGAGGCGTATCTGGAAAGAGTGTAGCTACAAGATTGGATATCGAGCTGTCGACCGTTTCTTGGGAAATAAAGCGTCGCACTGCATCTCGCTCTTCGTCTGTACTTTTCCAGATGGGGAGAATCTGCGTTGAACCGTAAGTGATGTCCTCTATTATCCTTTGCGCAAGAGCCTCTTCAACATCCTTTCTCAAAAAGTACGCGACTGGGAATCCTGTAGATGTCCGTTCTATGACATCAATACTCCGAGGGAATTCCCGGCCAAGATCTGGTAGATGCTGTGCCACAAGATTCAAAATCTGCATAGTCACTTCCCAGCGACTAGTATGTCCATCAACCATTAACTGTGAGCCGCTAGGGTAAATCAGCTGCGTCTTGACAGCTAGCGTAAAGTCACACTCATCCAGGATATCGCGACAGATTTTGTCCAACCAGCGCTGGACCACGACCATGTCTGCGGCTTCATCACACTTGCCGTCACAGAGTCGCTGAAGCCCACTAAGCTTGAAGGATAATACATGCTCAGGAACCCCTAGGATAATGCCTGATCTATGCAACATATCTTTATGGAGCTTAAGATATTCTCCAATGAGTTGCGGGGTGGTTGGTGTTCGTCTGGAGAATGGAATATAGGTAATTTCCCTATCCAAAAGACCCCCGAGGCGAGATTGAACAATCTGTGCTGTTTGCGACAGCAGGGCTTTGGGTACTAACAGCCGAGTGAGCATCTTCCCATTCGCGAGTAAAGAGGCAACCATAGCCATGATGACCGAAGTTTTCCCTTGGCCCATGTTCATTTGGAGAACCGAGTTAGAGTCAGAACTAGGTGAAATCATTTCCTGGGCGACTATAACTTGATCTTCGCGAATTTGAATATTGGCATCAATCTCTAACAATAGCCAGTCAGGATGGTCAGAAGGATGCCAATTGGTATGACCGTTATTCTTATACTCTTGACGCAGCGTTCCTTCGTCGCCTTTCCCGAAAGCTGTTTTCATCCGGTTCAGTCGTTGAAGCTTTGCAATGGCGAGTCCATATAGAATAATTGCATCTTTCATGTCTGGTCCCAAGATATTGCGGGAGGTCGATCCAAGCTGCTGAAGAATCGACAGAGGCGTCACACATGGCCAAAGGTTGCTTTGCTGCAGCCACCTGAACCTCGAGTCTTTCAATGACAGCGATTCACGTATCTGAGCGAAGTATTGATTTACTACCATGCGAGCCTCCTGAATCTCGTAGTTAAATATTTCACTCGCGAAACTCCAGTTGACATGCACGTTTATCTCTCGTTCATCTGTACGCTCAACCAGCTTCAACGCATCAATACTCTCCTTCAAATCTTGTCCGTACCTCATTTTGACAGGGCAATGTGAATTCATAGCATCGCTGACTAGCTTCTCTATCTCCGTGACCTCTGGAGGAATGTGCAGCCTTCGGTCAGAGCTTAAGGCTGGGGATATCATAGGCATCTGGTCTTTCGCCCATAGTTTGACGGTACGTACGTCATGGCGTGTGTTGAGTTTCGGTCCAGGCTTTTGTAGAAGCTCATCCCCAAGGCGTGGGATGGAATAACGAAACGCTGATCGCTGAAATAAGATAGGCTTTGGGCCTTCAAAACTCGTGTTAACCGTATTAGTGACAGCCGAATGCCTATTCAATACCGTTTGGACTTCCCCAACATGATGGCACAGTTGCAAATTCTTATACAGTCTAAACCACTCAGGCACCACCTCCTTCATGGCCAGCGACACATCTAGGTAAGTCTGATTGAAACCCTCAACCATGGGCTCACTGCATGGCCATTGATCGAGTAGAAAAGAAACAAACTCATGACACT